TTTCCTTTGTTGCTCAGGATTGCTTTTGCTATTTTAGGTCTCTTCTGGTAACTTTAGGAATGTTTTCTCTAGATCTGTGAGGTATACTAATGGTATTTTAACTGAGATTACATTATCTGTACAACAATTTCGGGAGTATGGACATTTTCACAATGTTGGTTCTTCTTATCCATGAGCAAAGAATATTTTTCCATTTTCTGATATCTACTTTGATCTCTCTTTTCAGAGCACTATAATTTTCACTGTATAGATCTTTTACTTCTTTTGTAAGATTGATTCCTAAGTATTTCATCTTTTTAGATGCTATTGTGAAAGGTGTGATTTTCCTAAATTCTCTCTCAGTCTGTTTGTTGCTTGTGTACAGGAATGCTATTGATTTTTGAGTGCTAACTTTGTATTCAGCTAAGCTACTGAATGTGGTTATTAAATCCATAAGCCTTTTGGTGGAGTTTTTGGGGTCTTCTATGTAGAGTATCATGTCATCTACAAATAATGATAATTTCACTTCTTCCTTTCTTTTCCATATTCTTTTTATTTCTCTCTCTTGTCTAATTGCTCTAGTTAATATTTCCAGAACTATATTAAATAGGAGTGGTGACAGTGGACATCCTTGTCTTGCTCCTGATTTTAAAGTGAAAGCTTTCAATTTTTACCATTTAGTATGATGGCTACATTGGTTTATCATAGATGGCGTTGATCATCTTGAAGTAAAGGCCATCTATTCCTATTTTTTGTACAGTTTTTATAATGAATGAGTGTTGAACTTCATCAAAGGATTTTCCTGCATCAGTGGAAATGATCATGTGATTTTTGTCTTTGGCTATATTGACATGGTGTATTACATTAATTGATTTGCGTGTATTGATCCCTCCCTGCATTCCTGGGATGAATGTCACTTGGTCATAGTGTATAATCTTCTTGATGATTTGCAGTATCTATTTCATTGAGAATTTTTGCATCTATATTTATTAGGGAGATTGGCCTGTAGTTTTCTTTCTTGGCTGGGTCTTTCTCTGGTTTTGGTATCAGGATAATACTTGCCTCCAGAAATGAGTTGGGGAGAATTCCTTCCCTTTCAATTTCATTAAAGAGTTTGAAAAGAATTGGTGTTAAATGGTCTCTAAATTTCTTGT